ACCCCCCCCCCCCCCCAATTTACACTTGCAACTTTTGCTGCAATTTTAAGTGCGATTTTGTTCTTCCGATGGATGTGAACGAGTGCATGAGCATGAGTGTTCAGATGTAGGTACATCCACTCAGAACATTCAAAACTCATCTACTCGTTCACATACAGCAGAAGAACAAAATCGCGCTGGACCCCGCAGCAAAAATTGCAAATGTAAATGGGCTTTTAGAGTTATCTAAGGGTTCCTTTGAGCTCTTTTGGGTTTCGTAGGGCTCTTTAGGGTTCCTTACAGCTGTCTATACGTGACATTTCAGGGCCACGTAGGGCTTTGGACTCTTTAGTACTTTCTTGACCTTAAATGGGGATTCGTGCATTAATAGTGAAAATTTGACTAAATACTCTTTTTAGTTATAGGATTTATGTGTATTTATCGTTACAGATCTTTCTAAGAAATGCATACGTGGTACAACTGTGTTTGATACTTGCGCTAGACGTTGTCGATGTGAAAACGGAAAATTGGTCAAATGTTGTCGACTTCGAAAAGAATTCACAGACATGAGCAACACAGAACGCGTTCGTTACATTAACACTGTTAAGACAGCTTCAAAAAATCCAGCGTATAAGCCTCAATACGACAGCCTTCTGACGCTACACAGAACAATTTTCTCGATTGGGATTCACAAAGAAGATTTTTTCCTACCATGGCATCGCTGGTTCATATTACAATATGAAAATCTGTTACGGCAAATCGATTGTCGTGTCACAGTTCCTTATTGGGACTGGAGTTTAGCTAGTGCCAATCCCTTCTCAAGCTCGATCTGGAACACAGGCACTAACGGCTTTGGTGGAAACGGAGATTCGGGGGCGAGCTGTGTAAAATCTGGTCCTTTCAGACAGGGGGTGTGGTCGCTTCCAGCAAGCGCCGGAGAAAACTGTCTGAGACGTAGTTTCGGTGGAACAGTCCCAGACGCAATTGCGGTTCGGGACATGATATTAGAGAATTCCAATACACCCGATTTCACAGATTTTGAGGTTTCACTCCGTGTTCAATTCCATAATGTAGTTCATTGCCGTATTGGCGGTACAATGTGTAGTTCGGATTCAGCAACCGCTCCAGAATTCTTCTTGCATCATGGATTCGTAGATAAAATTTGGTGGGACTGGCAAAAACAAAGTAACGCACACAAGTTTCATAAATATTTCCGTACGCAAACTAAGTACATGACATCCAGACATTTCTAGATTTGAATAATCAACTTGATTGTGTGTGTGCTGAATATGTTCAACCCAAGGCCAGCGTGATTTCAAGCATCAATGGTAAGTTTCAAAAACATTTTTCAACATCTTAGTATACTATGGATAGTTAAAGCTGAAAATGGAAAATAACTGGCGCCAACGACGCAATCTATTTAAAATTCGTGATGTCGTGAATTAGGACGAATATTTTAAAGTTTCTCGGGATTTTCTTTAATTCATCATTGCATATTTAGAGATTTTTTCATGGAGTGGCGTGGTTGTATACTTATATATTTAATAGTTCTTCGACTAACTGTTCAGCTGCATTATCGATAAACGTGCAATTATTTTGGATGTAGTGATGTCATAACATTCAACAGGGTTGAAACGTCGGTACGCTCGCTGAAAACATCATATGCGATCATAAATTTCCTATCCAATGCTTTTATTATCCGGATCCACGGTTGTACAAACGTGCTAAGAAGTAATTGCAACGAAGCGTACTGTAGTTAGTCCGCAATTACAGCAATCCAGTCGCAGCTAGTACTAAACCGTTAACTGAACTGTAATTTAAATCTTTATACGCCGTGTGCTTCTCTTTTAGAGCTGGTGACGTGTTGCCGGAACCATGCAACCAACCCCTTATAAGCAACCATGCAACCAACCCCCTATAAGCCTGGTTTCCTTATGGTCGTAACGGTCATAAAGATTGTGTCACTATCTTTCTCATCAGCCGAAATACAACATTTTAGAACTGAAAATAGGTGGAGTGATTATAACTAGAGAATACCGACCTCATGATTTATATGTGGTTTACAGGTATAAACTATCAATAAACTGGCCGTTGAGAAAGACCGTGCCTCTATTTCTACGACCATTACGACCACATGGGAACCAGGCATAAATTATAATTCTTGTTTCGACCATATTTGCGAATATCTTCTCGTCAGATATTTAACTTTTAAATTTATCCCTATTTAGCACTGTCCAAGTTCAAGCTTGCAAAGATTCGAAGACTGCCACTACCACCACTTTCCTCAAAGGCAGACAGATTGTTCAAAACATCGCCAGCCGAAATACGTAGAGTTAAAAAACTCCGAGCAAAGATCCAACCCAAAAAAACCCTGAGGAAGAGTTCCTTACGAGGAAAAGATGCAAGACTTGGTTTTAAGTTGAGCGAAATTCAAAAACAGGCAAAAGGTGAATATTATATGAGCGTTATCTGACAACATTACCAACTAACAATTGGCGCTCAGGAAAATTTTGATCGCTATGACGAATTGTAATTTTGAAATACACCTCTATGCCAGCCATATAGTTTACATGTTATAAACATTATATGATATGGAGCAGTAGGGGCGGTTCAGTTTATTAAGATTGCGGGCTACTGGGGAACGAACCTTATACTGGACCTCTAGGGAGAACAGTTTAAATCTGATAGGGCTATATCCAGTATAAATGAAGTTACTAGTTTTGTTTAGGTTTTCTCCTGTAGTAACACTGGATCAATTAACAATTAGACAACGACGCCGAGTTGTCTATGAGTGAATAGTTAAAAGACGTATAAAATGCATGAAAAGCAATTCTAATGTCGTTCAATCGATGAAATATATAACCATAAAATAACTGTTAAAACAATACTATCACTTGAAATGCATAGACAAAGTTTGACATTCAGATTCTATCGAAAACCTCGCACACTATAAGAAATGTTGTTTTTGGGCGAGAAATGTCGAAGCACACAAAAAAATAATTAATTGTAAAACGAGAAAGTACATTAAAATATTTATTTAGTGTTATAAACCTAAAATCACATTTTAGACAAAGAAATACTTAAAAGACGAGAAAATCATATATGATTAAGTAATTATAAGCGGCTGAAATTTCAGCGGTCTTGCTTGTAATATGCACAGAAAATGTGCTGTGAAGTTCGCCTGTCTTCGTGTCACATTTTGTGGCAAGTATACTGTATAACAGCAGATATATTATTAAAATACCTTTCAATTATTGCTCTCTATTTTGCGGGGAAAGAATTTCCCACAAAATTCTCCCGAAAACCTTTGCAAAATAAAAGTTCCAAGCCATTTTGTCTCCAACCTGCCCCTGGACCGTTACGTAATGTTTCGTGCCAGACCGCCTTAGTTGAGTAGCCTACCAAAATGCTGGGTGTGTAATAGTCTTTGGTTGAGTGTATACTAATAAGAGATGACTCTTACTTGACCTCCAGAGTGAGCATTTTAAACTGGTAGAACTATCATGCACAGTACAACTGAAGTATCCAGCAAGTTTTTAGTTTAAGTTTCCTCCTGAAGTAACACTAGAGTTTGTTTTGTAGTCAAGTCCATTTTCAAACTTCCTGTTCGGAGATTCAAGCGACCTCACCTTACAGATGAAGAAAATGAAGACGAAGAAGACAACGAAAACGAGACTGATTATCGAGTGTAGATGTTCCTACGATCTTCATTTCATTATATAGCGTATTTCACAGAACGATAAAATTGAGCTGGGTTTATAAATGGAACTCAGGATCATTAGTGACCACTTCGTTTATTGATTAGCTAGATAAATGAAGATTATTCAACCCATTACGTAAATTTGCTATTTTTAAGCGATAACTCACAATCAGCTTAGTTATCTCAGTCACAGGAAACATTAAAATTCTGGGCACAAGCTTTTTACTCATATGTGCAATTTACGTTTTGCTTTTTTATCAAATAAAAGTAATTAGTTACCTTGATTTGACAAGTCTATAATTATCCAGTCTTGATCAAAATGTGTTGTCTTTAATTGACTTTGCAATTGCCGCGGTTATGTGATATTCGCAAACTATGGTAATTGTTCCATGTTTCGTGCACCAATATAGTAAACGTTATGTAATTGGATATTATAGTGCATTGAAAAGTTCACTAGATACTTTCATACACATATATACACACCTAACCCTAACCCAACCTTAAACCTAACCCTAACCCCTAACCCTAACCTAACCCCTAACCCTATTACCTAACCCCTAACCCTAACCTATATTGGTGCGCGAAACATGAAATGATAACCCAAAATATTTTCTTTCAAACATCTGTCTTCTATATACCTTTAAAGATAAAACAATATGCTTCAACTACTTCGAATTACATCAAATACAAACTATTGAGTAAAAGTACTTAAATTATGAGCAAATTTACTCATTGTTTTGGTAAAATAAATGGTATTCTCTACTAAAAAAATGAGTAAATTCGCTCATAAATTTGAGTAATTTTACTCAAACGTTTGAGTCACTCTGGTTGCATTATTTTGCTCAAGCTTTTTAGTCAAAATGTTGCAGTGCATCCACCTTTTGAACGATGTTATTTAAGTTATGATAACATAGCAAGGACTTGTTATCATAACTTAAAAAATAGAGCGGGCACTGCGCAAAATATCGATGGACAAATTAAAGCTTTCTAAAGGGGGAAAATAACGCTCTCTGATTGGATAAATTTTCGTTGCCCGCGGATGCAAATTCTCATTCCTGGATGCAAAGTCGAACTGTTTAGGAGAAGCGGGAAATTACGAAAATAATACAACTTTGAAAACATTGTCATCGTTTTTTTCGAGTATTAGCATAGTTCAAGTAAGGACTAAAAACTCAAAATCAAAAAGAATACCTGGATTAAAATACACAACAAGTTTTAGAACGGTAGAAATGTTTTAAGGTGCTTTTTTCCGACGTTGAAGAGCGGTGTTATCTTCGTGACACGTCCAAACCTTTATCATTTTCCACGATATAAAACGAAAAAAATGTAAACTAATCCCTTAATTTTCGCAACAAATAAATGTAAAACAGTTAGGACTGTTGATAAAACCAGGCTGAATACCTGAATTGTAGCCAAAAGGTGGAAAAAATAGATTATCTTGGTTTTACATCCAAGTATAAGTATATAGGCCTAACTATAGTCAAATTTTGCCCATTTAAAATATTAGCAAGCTTCAATAATTTGTCCCTTTCGTTTGCCTGAGCTCATGTTCCTGCAATGTCCAATTATATTAGATTAGATTAGATTAGATTGATGGTGATTAGATTAGATTGATTGTTCCCCAAGGATCTGCTCTTTGGCCATTACTTTTTTTATTATACATAAATGACATACAAAACTGCAGTGATGTTGTTTCATTTGTCCTGTTTGCAGATGATACAAACGCATTCTATTCTAATTCCAGCATTAATATAGCAAAAGAAACAATGCAAAGAGAGATGAATGAAACACTTAAATGGTTAAACACAAATAAACTCTCTATAAATACAACTAAAACTTAATTGATCCTTTTCAGAGCACGCAATAAAAAGCAACTAACTGAAATTGATATTAAAATAAATGACCAGTCGATCGAACAAGTGAAATGTACAAAATTCTTGGGTGTTCTAATCGATCACTTAGTCTATAAACTGTCAATCGATGAAACACTCACATGGAATAATCACATTGGTTCAGTTTTAAAAAAATATTTAAATCAACCGGAATTATTTCTAAAATTCGGCAATATACGAATCAAAATACATTAAAATTGCTTTACTATTCCTTGTCTATCCTTATCTCACTTACGCTAATTTAGCTTGGGGTAACACGTACCCTACAAAATTGCAAAAATTGATGAGTGTCCAAAAGAAGATTGTGCGTCTAATCACTTTCAAACCGTATTCTGAGCACACGGACCATTATTCAAAAAATTAAATCTATTAACTATTTACAAAATAAATTATTATTTGATCAGTTTATTTATGTTTCAATTTTACAACATGAACAATATGCCCGAAATTTTCAACAATTTTTTCAAGACTAATAATGAAATTCATCATCACAATACTAAAAGTTCAAAAAAACTGCATAAAACCTACACCCGAACTAATTACATGAAACATACTCTCTCCAATAAAGGAGTAGATATTTGGAATAATTTGAACGAAGATTTAAAATCCATTAAATTTTACCAATCGTTCAAACAACAAGCTAAAATTTATTATCAAATACAAGAATAATAATAATAGAGCATATTATTCATGGACGTCTAAAACAATGCTTCCATCATCATGCACTCCTAACTTCATATTTGTTGTATATCTATATTATTGTAAAACTATATCACAACTTTCTTTAAACTTTTATGTACTATATATTAACTGACATATAGCTATCGTTTGAATTTAATATTTGCTGCAAATGGAGCCTTGCACTAAAAGCTTCTTAAAGTTTCTTAAAGGCTCCTAGCTCTAGTATTCAACAGACGTTATACTGTATATTGAATAACTTAGTTCTGCACTTCACTTGGTGGAATTAATATTAGGATGTCAGGGTTTGTAATCCAAGTGAGAATATATACATTTTAAGACCTAACCAGGAACGACTGCGAAAAATGCGGCACAAGGTCCTCTGGTAGGAATCGAACCTACGGCCCTGATATTCCGGAGCAGCGCTCTAACCAACTGAGCTACAGAGGCCAGCTGTTGAGCTGTAACCGCAAGTCCACCTTATCACAACCCGCACACCCGATTACCTATTTATACATGAACTTACGGTTACAGCTCAACAGCTGGCCTCTGTAACTCAGTTGGTTAGAGCGCTGCTCGGGAATCGCAGGACCGTAGGTTCGATTCCTACCAGAGGACCTTGTGCTGCATTTTTCGCAGTCGTTCCTGGTTAGATCTTAAAATGTATATATTCTCACTTGGATTACAAACCCTAACATCCTAATATTAATTCCACCAAGTGAAGTGCAGAACTAATTTATTCAAGTCCACCTTATCACAACCCGCACACCCGATTACCTATATATACATGAACTTACGGTTACAGCTCAACAACTGGCCTCTGTAGCTCAGTTGGTTAGAGCGCTGCTCCGGAATCGCAGGGCCGTAGGTTCGATTCCTACCAGAGGATTTTGTGCTGCGTTTTTCGCAGTCGTTCCTCGTTAGGTCTTAAAATGTATATATTCTCACTTGCATGGATTACAAACCCTAACATCCTAATGTTATACTGTATATTCTATCTTAATTATGTAAATAGGGCGAATTTTTAAATAATAATAAATAATGAATACTAAATGTTTAATAAATGAAAAAAAAAAAAAAAAGAAAGATTATGCAATTATGCAATTAGATTACGAGCTCGAGATCTCTATGAGGGGATAGGTTATGAGGCCGAAGCCCGAATCAACTATCACCTCATAGAAATCGAGAGCGAGTAATGTAATCGTTTGAGTAGAATCAGAGTAAACAATCAAGTTCGTCCTCAGAAACCTCAGAAAAATGCGAGTCGGAAGCCATTAAAAAAAAATGCGCCAGGAAAATGCTTGTTTTGCTACGCGCTTTCCATCGAGGAATAGATGGCGAGTAGAGTAGCAAATATTTGCTCTCCTTTACATTTTACCTAATTCTATTCTTAAATTAAACATGGTAATTTAGCAAACTTTAATACAGCTTCATTGAAAAGGAAAGCAGTGCATGTTTTACGCAATAAATTAAAGCAGCAAAATTCATAAACATTAAACATTCAAAGCAAACTTGCCCTGTATTTCACGATTTTCCACAGTGAATCAATATATTCTCGGGGAATAATACGTATAAATAACGCTGAAATACTACTACTATATTATTATATTGTTAATCTTTACTACGCGTATCCCATCCAGAACCCGCTGACACAAAATGCTGTGTTTATGGGCGGAATGTGGCTTATTTACGGCCATTTGTCATTGCCATACTAGAGTACAACAGAAAAAACATAATAGTTTGCTAATACTACTGAGCAGCAAAAACCATTTTCTTCGTGTAACGCTATAATTTCCAATTCGGAACTCTAACGTGGAAATAATGACTGGAAATAAGTTCATAATTTTAGTTTTACACCCTTTTTTAAAACCACGCTATACCTACTCAAAAATTACTCTCAGTTCAAATGTCAGTTTCATGTCACGCGAACTGTTAAAATAGGAAACGTAGACGAAAGACGTTTTAATTAAACTGTTTTTAACAGCTAAAAAAGAATGTCGACCTAAAATGAGCTAGACATACAAACTGAAAGAAACAACAGACCCTCATGCGTAACAAAAAAAATTAATGTGAAAAAAAGAAACATTTCGTGAAATTTAACGATGTACAAATCCGCTGGCGCTAGTCGATGTTGCCGTCGTGCATAAATTTTTGCAATAATTATCACTGAAATACATTGAAAATTATTAAGGTATGCTATGATAATGATAACAAACGACGAACTCAAAGTTGACAACAAAAATTTTGCAAATATAGTGAAAATGTTATTGTTGTCGCCAACACAATCTACGTGAAGAAACGTTACTTTGCTTAAGATAGCCTTCCTGGGAAAAAAGCATTCGCTAGGCAGTAATGTTTTGAACTGGACCTATCTATAGTGCTATACCGAGACGATTTTACTGCGCTGCTGAAACTTGTTTTCTCAACACAGTAACAATTGCCTTCGACAATTGTAAGCGACAGTCTCATGCAAGCGTTTAAATTTTCCTCTGGATTTCTTAAATGTTGTATTCTGTTCCAGAAGGTTAGACAGGTGAAAACACAGTTCAATAATTAAACGACTTTGGCAGACAATTTGAAGCGATATTTGCATGGAAATGTAATTAAAGTGCGTATCGGCAAGGTGGGTAATCGTGTGATAGCGAAGAGCTGCGCATGTTTTTAATTAAACAGTATTCATTTTAGAACGTAAACATGGTTTAAGAAATTAGTGTAGAAGCGTCACTATATAAATTCCAAAAATTTGCCCCGTAACATCAGTTTTGAAGACGCGATGCTGACAAGAAACAGCAAACCTGGTTAACCTTTATTCTTTTTAACCACATTTAGAATGAAAAGTTTTGTTAAAACACCACACTTGTCATTTAAATTTCTGTTCCTGATAATGTTTTCACTTGCAGTTAAAATGGAAGATGAATACTGCAGACCTGAAAATTCAACCAACGTAGCGCTTTCTTTTCGTTTGTTGTATAAAGGTAAGTTTCTTTTAAGAAATATCGTTCTGATTTATACAACTAAAACTTAATAACAATAATGCTTGTTCGTTAATCGGTTTAAAGATTTTCCGACTTCTTCCTTGTAACGTTCGCATTATTTTCAACTAGGAATATAGCCTCATATAAGAAATAACGGTGCTTTTGTCATGAAGCAATAAAAATAATTAATTGTGCTAATTTTTGTAATATCGAAAAGCGAAAAATTTGGAACGACACTGCATGCATCATGACAGTTCACGAAACAAGAAAAAGCACAGCGTGGATTGGTCATGTTTTCTACTCAAACAAGGTTTGAATCTTGCAAGGTTACTGAAAATGATGGAGGAATATATAAAAGGTTCTATAAATAGCTAGGATATAATTAAAGGTCTCGCCAAGCGTTTTGAAACATGGCATTTTATGAGCTGGCCTATGCCGAGAAATATTTGTGGTATCAGTATGTGGTATACTGTATGTGGTGTACCACTCATGTGGTATACAGAATCTTTTTGCCGTATTGTTAATTACCATGGATCATAAAAATAATGGATAGGAAACTCACGTTCTGACACGCATCAAGTTTTCCTGATGTTTACAAATAATTGTTGAAAATTATGACATCACTAAATCTAAAATAATTCCACGTTTGGCTATAATACATGAGAATTTTAGTCAAAAAGCTAATGCCATTCTACGATATAATGTCTAAGTATTGTTGACCAGTTTTAGGGAACATATCAAACATTAGACAATATGTCAATATTATTGTATTATATAAATCTGACATGGAGTGCCCAATTCAAAACACGCCCTTAGTTGACAAATAGCTTGGTATACAGGTATATAAACGAATCGGAATGGTGAGTGAAGCTACTGTTCGCCTAAAAAAGTTCAAAACTGATAAACTAATTCTTTGTGTGACAAATATTTTTATATTATAGATGTTTGTCCTTTGATAAAAAGCATCATATTATCTGAAGAGACGTATGATTTCCAGATTGATTGTGGCCTGAAGTGTTTGCATGATCCATTCTGTGCTGGGTACAACTTTCTGAAGAAAAATCGCCAGAAGAATATGCCAAACTGCCACTTAACACACACACTTGTTTACAACTTTCATGATTGCAACGCTCATGACAAAGGCTGGACTTTTTACCATCCTGTTGGTTCAAGAAAGGTGCGAAGCTATAGTAAAACGTGCTCTATAAACATTTTCTAAATTTATATGATATATACTCACCGAAGTAGAGTAGCTAATATAAAACTTCGTATTCAGGCTAATGCCTAATGATAATGGGCCAAGGATAATTCGCTTAAATTTTTGTTTTAATTTGGACAAAAATTGAATGAGAAATTGGCAGACAAAGAAAACTAATTGCATACTTATTGCCCAATGTTCAATTTATGAATGACATTCCCCCTCATTGGCTCGCGGTGGAAAGCAGTCTTATTATATCTACAGGGTGTCCCAAAAACCCGAAAACTATTGAAATCACTTATTGTTAAATTTGAATGCCCTACCAAACAGCTGGACGTAATGATGCGTAAAATATTGACAAGGTGCATGTATTAGAATTTAGTTAGGAGTATCTCCTGGTAAAGTGCGCGATTTTCTGCTCCTGGGAATTAAAAACAGCATCTTAAACAGTTTCTTTAAGCATAAAATTTACTTATGTCAATCATTTATGCACTCGTGGGAACCAACAGAGCGCTAAGGCATTCAAATTCTAACAATTAAATTGTTATTGGTGATTTCAATAGTTTTCGTTTTTTTTGGGGACACCCTGTATATATAGGTATTATTATATCCAAAAGCATGTATATCCTAGAAAAACTGACTTGCAGACAATTAGCAAGTGGCCTGACCGAAAATTCAAAGTGTTTCAAATGTTGTACATGCATTATTAAATAACCTGTTAATAAAGCTATATTTAAACTTCAGGAGGTGGTTATGCTTGAGCTTCGCTGTTTGCCTGAAATGTAAAATAAAAAATGACAGGTTTTTTTGCCGTGAAGACGTGAGCCGTGATTCCCGCTAGTTTTTGTCCGGGAAACGAGAATTTATTTCATACACGTAGAACAGTGACTGGACAGATAGCGATCTAACAATTCTGTTGTATGCATTCCATTCGGGATTATGATTTAGGTATTTAATTTTAACCCTTTTTACATTATGTTTGTGATGTTACTCTGAGTGTATATCCACACCGGGCGAGCTTGAAAAATATGCCCGGCCACGGTGGGAATCGAACCTACGACCTTTGGAATACATAATAAGAATACAACGTACATTTGGGCTATGAAGAAACAATTGTAGGATTTTAGTTCTCTGCCGATAGTGTCTTACAATAACTAGTTCGGGTTTTTAAAAACTTACTCCTAATGACCGTTGCTATGGCAACAATAACCATTATGGCAGATATTTTCGGTTTAAAGTAATTTAACTCGAAAATAAGGTCGGTGGTCTTATTTCATAGCATGTTTCTTTTTATTTTGTATTATTTTTGTGATTTAAAAATAAATTCTGTGATGACAGAACACGGAATTTTTTGAAAATCATAAAAATGATTCGAAATACTAAACAAATTCTTTTTATGAAATAAAAATAGGGGGTAACCGGCCTTATATATTTTCAAGTTAAATAACATTAAACCCAAAACCTCGGCCATATTGAAGCGTCATTGTTGGCATAAAAACGGTATTTGCGAATTTTTTTTTCGAACAGATCCAACTCTGCAGCTATTATTTTTCTAGTTGGACTCTCCTTGTCTTTTGACAAATATTGACATCATGTCATAGTAATGACATCTTATTGAACAAGACCAATAAAACTTACACAGTTGTGTGAAATTTATATTAATTAACAAGCAGGAAAACTTTGTCAGTGGACGTTTGGTTGTAAATTTAAATTTTGTGAACATTTTTATGTATGATTTTATGTAGGATGATTTCTCGTGAAATTTGGATAAAACAAGTACTCGTGAGTGGGAGCCCCCCCCCCCCCCCACCCCGTGGCTACGCCTGCGTGGGAACGGGATGTTTCACAATCTTGTCGCCGTGGCTAAGCTTCTGTGGAATGTTTCCCAACCAGTTTTCTCTTAATTTGTACTATATAGGCAAATCGGAAATGTGTCGTGAAATGGTCAATTTTTTACATATGAGTGGGAGCCCCTTCCCCCCTCCCCCTCCCCGTGGCTACGCCTGCGTGAGAATGGGATGTTTCACAATCTTGTCGCCGTGGCTAAGCTTCTTTGGAATGTTTCCTAACCAGTCTTCTCCTAATTTGTACTATATAGGCAAATGGGAAATGTGTCGTTAAATGGTCAATTTTTTACATATGAAATATGATCCGTCCCCTTTACCACCCTCAAATGTTGCGTTTCTCTTCCTCCACAGCTACGTACTTCGCTTTTCGATCAATTCAGTTTATGTAATTTCAAGCCATTCAGAAGTGGAACTTTTATAAAAATAGCACATATTCGCTGGATTAATTTATAATGAGTAAATTAGTGTAACTTGCAGGATGGCGTCCAAAATTAGACAGATATTTAGATATTCAGATATTTATTTCAAACGTAAATAATTATTAAATTGTGTGTGTACTTGTAACGGTTGTAACAACATTACGCAGTTATTCACATAGTGATTATTGAAAAAACAATAACAACATTACTAAAAGCCTGCAGACGGGTTAAATAAAACTGCCCAAAACGTTGCAAATGTATAAATAATTTTATATATTTATATAATCCTGGAATTTCAATAATAATTTAAAACAACAAACCTTATTAAAAAACTTAGTTGAATTCACAAAACTTCTAAATTTAACAAATGCCGAGCAACAGCGGTATGAAATTTAAGGGAAAACTTCGTTTTCTCAGAAATAGAGGTTATTCTGGGGATAGTTTAAACGCGGTATTAAACGGGCTGGGTGCAACCCAATTTTATCGGCCGGTTAGCTAACCGAATTTATACGCCGGATGGCGGGTAAACAACGTTAAAAGGCCTTTCGAATAACTTCTGACGTTATTCCGTTATTCAATTTACACAATTAAATTTGGCTAAAATGTTTCCTTTTTATCGTGAGCTGAATTCTAATACATTTACTTCACAGGTTCCATGCCATAAAATGAAGAATTGTAAAAATGGGGGAAATACTATCATTTATCTCAAAGGTGGACCAGGTACTGACCCTTACATGTGTGAATGTCCAAACGGATACAGCGGAGACCTCTGCCAAATTGGTGAGTTATTAAAAAATTATTGGCTGCGCACGATGAGGATGAAATAATACATCAAAATCGAAACTTCTGCATCAACAACGCAACTCAGTCCAAACTTTTGAAAATGGACATGCTTGCGCATGTTCGCTCGGATGCTGTAAATTCAACATGGAAACCGCGCGTTTTATGAAAATTGATATTAACATTTGTTGAATTCAGTATTTGTTGCAAGTGATGCAATTTTGTTGCCTGTATTACTTCAGTAGATAACCCCCTTCCCAGGCCTAGAAAATATATTTATCTTCCTGGCATCAAAATTTCCTGTGTAAGTCAACTATAAACGTCCTGTATGTTTAAATTTCAGAGAACGTGTGGACTATGATGCTGCCGCACATCCCGACTTGCAAAATTTTTCAAATTTGGAATTTTGAAACAATAAGTAAATCATATGGCATTCCTCCATATAAGATGCCAAACATTTCCTGCAAAGTGCAAGAAAATTTCCTGCGAAGAATTTTGTTAAAAATTTCCTGGCAGCTGCTGCTGGCGCTGCCGACATTTTCCAGCACTGCTCCTTCCCCCCTTCCCCCTTCCCCCCTTCGCCTTCCAAAGCGATGCCACTGCGCGCTGATTGGTCGAGCATTACTCACCCACAGACTCGCAGTGTCACTCACTCTAAGTGTGACTCGCGAATTACTCACACATTGCAAAAGGTAAACAAAGGGATGCAACCGAGCGCTGATTGGCAGAGCTTAATGAGCCTCACTCACAGTGTGACTCACGCATGACTAGTGGTGTAACTTACGCTGAGTGTGACTCACAGGGTTGCTTGCTTGGGATCCTCTGCATGTGAGATTTCTCTCTCCCTTAATCGCCTCAAGCTCTTCGTGACTGGCATCGTCTAGCTGGCCCGATTGCCAATCATCTGAATCACTCACTTCTAGGATCACATCATCTGATTCTTCCTCGCTTTCTTCTGAATTCTCGTCCGCATCAGTGTCATTTGTATACAAATATCGCACGTCTTATTGCACCGATTGTCGATCATTCGAATAAATCTCTTCTTACGATAACATCATCTGATTCATTATCACTTTTATCTGAACCACTCTCTTCCACACGCATCAGTGTCTTTTTGCACCAGAATGGCTTTGGCTCAGGGAAATGGTAGAAATTGGTGTTAGGAAATATGGCGCAAGGGAACTTCTGGTGAATCTTGATAACCTTGCCGCAAGGATCGTCTGTAAAACTTTGTACATGTTGTTTTGGAGAGTTTGAGGTTCCCACCAGGTTTGTCGTAAGGGTAATTATCAGATCTTGAAGCTTATTTTAATTTGCATGCAGTCGTCGAAACGATTGAAATCGATTCAGTTCTGAAACGTTTGAAATTGATTCAGTTCTTTAAAATAAATAGGAGTTCTTTCATCTTGTGTTAAGGGACCGTTAATTATTTATACCTGGGGTTGGTACCAAAGAGATATAGGTTGGGTAATCAAGTTTTTGACGAGCTCATGGGTTGGGTAAAAAAAATTTATGGCTGTCTGTCAGCTATAAAATGAAACCAAAATTACGGACAGAATTGCAAAAAAGCTGTGGACACACAGGCATTACCTGCGTGGAAGGTTTACTATAGGTGAGGTCAGTGAGGAAGGTTTGGTGGTCAACGGTCGCTAACACCAAAAAAGTAAAACAAATCAATCGTAGTTGAATAGGCAGTTAAGGCTGACAAGTTGTGGTGGTACTATTCTGGTGTAGTACCTATACCAGGTGACTATGACATTGGAGAATACTGAAAAGACAATAACTGAAAATATTCTGTAAAATTAAAATGTGCAAGTGTCAACCATCAGAGGCACCTTAAACCATTGCACCACCAATAACAGGAGGCTATTACTAAGAGCTATTCATCACGGTTACAATAAGAAACTCACATTGAACATTATATTATTCACAGATTATTTTATTACATGATTCCAATATTTTTAGAGAATTAATTAATAGTTATAAATGAAATGAACCAACAATGCTGTAGCAACTAAACATTGTAATAATTATATAAAAATGACTAAGGTAAAATGTTGTAAACTGCCACAAAATTATAAACAAAGCTGAGGAAGAAATTTTAGCATGTGCGATGTGAGTCTGACTAAAATAATACAGTTTGATTTAGTACAGATCGACAAAATGTATCGAGGTCCTATAATCGATATCATTGTTTACTTACCTGATACCTACACTGTCAATTCCCACAAACTATAAGATAACCATAAGTATATGGCAGGATTGGCAGCGTCTGTTATAGAGATTATATTGCCATTGCCATTGATTTTCAACCATTCCAAACATTGCCATTGATTATAAACCGCCATGCAGGACACTATACTGCTTGGTTTAAATTTAGCACTTTGCTTCGGAAACAAGCGAGAGCATTCGCTGCCTTGCCGATTATGAAGTTGGGCGATTGGGTCACACTTCTAAAGACCTAAAATTCTCAAATAAATTTCAAAACCACAAGTACGTAAACATCAAATACTACCTCTGGAATGTTGTTGCCATCATGCCATGGCTTTACCACTGACCTCTATATAACATGTGTACAGGTGTAAAATCAACAACTTCATTCAATTGATATCGAGTATTTCTAGATCAGTGATATCGACATGAAGGTTGTGCTAGTACCCACTATGAACAAGTTGTCAACAATGTTGTTTCAAGTTTTGTTGACAACTTGTTCATAGTGGGCAGCACAACCTTGTTCACACCTGTCAATATCAACTGGGAACAAGTTGTTGATTTTCTCAATTTTTATGTGTGTACCGCTGTGCTTTTTATTACAGATTCAGAAACCATCACATCTCGAGTCCATGACTTTTTTGTATATTCTTTTATATTCAATATATCATATAGGATGTAGACGTGCTAGGTAAGGACTGTCCAATTTGTCTAAAGTATAAATCTATTACGGAAAATTATATATTAGAATTATGTACTGCATTTGACGGCACATCTCTTTCGAATTTTATGCTTTCAGAATCAGTTAAGACTTAAGTATTTTATATATACTCTAGCATATTGCTATTTGATGAAGCCATATTTTATTATTTATTCAATTTATTTTGAGGAAGGTTTCAAACTTTAAATTTTACCCAGAGGAGATTTTGAACATGCATTGGAAAATATGAATAAAAATGTATACAATACATTCTGTACCAAAATAGACCATCAGTGATTGATGAAGGACTGTATCATTGTTCAGCAGGAACGTGATTGCTTTGGCACACTCAGTAAGTTTGAGAGAGGTTTAATTTTAGAATTTACACAACTTGATTTCTGTCAGCATAATCTTGTGTGTTTAAGTTCAGTAACACATGGGTTGGGTAAAAATTATTTTGACCAATATCGAGTTTGGGTAAATAAAAAAATTACATTGCTTTTCGATTCTCTTCGGTACCAACCCCAGGTATAAATAATGAACGGTCCCTAACTAAGGAGAATTCATGATATTCTCCATATTTGATCATATTACGCCAGCTCTGTCTACATTAAACCGGTTACCCATTGAACAACTCTTATTGACAAGAGACACAGTGATAACATACAAGTGCATAAACAATCTTGCACCTAGCTATCTATGTAACAAGTTCAAGAACGCGGCCTCACGCTACATCATCCAGTCCGCACTAATTAAAGACACATTACACATTCCTTTCCATGCATAGAACTACGCGAGGACAGAGAACATTTCATTACAGAGCAACAAAAAATTTGGAACGATCTTGATATATTAACGATTTTAAACAGATTTCTTTGCTAAGTAATTTTAAAAATACAATTAAAACACACTTTTTAGATACCTTTTCTTCTAATTTATAATTAACCAATATAATACATGCATTTCCCGTGTTGATATAGGAAGATATTATTTCGCTGGCCTCAGAGTGACAAAACGTAACAAAGCAACGGTTTTACTAACACTAACCCTACTCCAAACACCAACTCGAACATTAACCCTAATCCTTACCCTAACCCGAACCTAACCCTACTCCAAATTTGTTTCTAAACCAATCTTGAAGAAAAAAGTTTTGACGAAATGTCATTCTGAGGTCAGCGAAATAGTTGATGCCTTTGATACACAGTTATATCAACACGAGTGGAAATTGGGAAAACGAGAAATTGTGTAGAAACACGACGTCCGGAGGGCGTAGTGTTTTCGCACAATTTCCAGTTTTCATAATTTCCACGAGTGTTGATATAACTGTGTATCAATACGGGAAAAAATTATATATTTTTTATAATATAGCACAAAGAAATATTAAGAAGAAAATGTTCCGTATTGACATTGAATTATGTCAACATGACTCTTAGCCAATCAGCGTTCAGAATTTACAAATGCTATATTATAACATTAATTCATTTATATTTAGTTATAAAGTAATAATGTAAGATAGTTCTAACTTTAAAGTTTTCATATTTGTAATTGTATGCTGAAAAATCCATCTGGCAACATTTCAATAAAGTACTGTAATTATTGATTTTGTATGGCACATTACCAGAAAATTGGCGACAAAATGGCCACTGCGGCACTGCCTGTATACAAATTTGAATATAATCCGTATAGAACGGCTTTCAGTTTTTACTGGGAATATACAGGGTGAAAATATTTAACTCGAATTATTGCGATCTGAGAGCTCGGCTATACTGTTTGCCGACCCCTTTATCAATAAAGCATTGATTTACTAATGTTTCCGTGAAATATTTAGTCCGATCGAGTATCTCTAATTGAGTCGTGTTGAAGAAAATCACTTTTATGTCGTCTTACATACATACATACATAAAAATTTATTTAAACAGATTAGCCCTAACATCTTTCGATGATTTCCATAGGGGACGTGTAAGATTAAGATTAATACACATACATAATGACAAACTATTTACATTATTCTTCTTCAGACAATTAGCAAACATAAATAAATAACAAACATAGAAAACTATTTACATACTTATTGTTTTCGAAAATGTAG